GCTGGTTTTGATTGCGAGAACATTGAGGAGCATGGTGCGGGCTGACCCGAGAACATTCCGGACAAATATTTTCTTTATCATTAGTATGGTTGGAATTTTCATACTGGTCGCGGTCGTGGCTTTTGTCAACACGGGGACTTAATCGTTGATTTTTATCCAATCAATCCTCCAAACGCTCCATGGTAGAGTAAAAATTATCGTTGTGCTTATGGTCGCCAATTGTTGAATAGAGATAATGGTGGGCAAACTCATGAACTACAGCACCTCGCAACTGGTCCTCATTCTGGTAATTATTCAAAAAATAAATGGTATATTTGTAGGGAAAATAGGTGGTAGTGGTTTTTTCAGAACCGGGAACTTTTACTCCGTTTATTGTTTGCCACTCAGTGTTGCTTTCACTGCCCCCTCCTTTTCTCTCAGTGCGACCCAGAACTAGAGAGTTTCCCTTGCTCCCCAAATGGTTCTTGAAAACTATGCTGATATCTTTTTTGTGGAGAGAGTCCTGGATAAACTTTTCAACCAGCAAGTAATAATATTTTTTGATTAACTGATTTTGTTGATTAATGGGCAATATCCGTATTTTTCAAATTATAAAGATCAATCTCTTGGCCACAATAGAGGCAAATTCCACCCGCATTGGTTTCTTTGATAGTAGGTTTTTTCTTGCGACTTTTCCTAGATCAAAGTTTTTCGTTTTGGTCTTCTCACAAACGATATCTCTTAATATTTTCTTCATTAGGAGGAATATCCGAGTTGCTATCCCTTAATTTTTGCCTAATCCCTTCTTTTTCTTTTTCTCGGTCACGGTTCTTTCGTTCAATTTTGTTCCTTTCTTCTTCCGAATTCCATAAATCCCGCCCGGTTTCAATATTAATCGTGGCAAATCCTTCTGGATAACGCAGAAAAAGATTTTTGAGGATTTTGCGAGTTTCGTTAAAACTACGAAATACTACCGGATTTCTTACTAAATCTGGATGCATTCATGGTGACCACATTCCTTTGTCTTTTTCTTTGACACTTACTGACTCTTTTAATATTTTTTCTTTGCACCAGGCTTGAAATTCACCGTATTTTTCTCCCTCTAAAAAGGCTTTGATCGCTTCGATCATGTAACGAAAAGAAACTGCTGCCGGAGACTTTTCGTTGTAATATTTTTCTAAT